AGGAGTACGATCAAGAGTAAGAGCTAGAGTAGGAGTACGAGCCTTTTCGGAGGGCACTTAGATAGCCCGAGGGGGGGCAGAAATTCCCACGCAGGGGGGGGGGGGGGGCAGAAACTCCCTCGCGCTACGACGACGACGGCGACGACGACGTCGACGACCCCTCCAGCCCTCTGCGGCGCTCCGCGCGCAGAGGTGCCCTGCCTGCTCAACGACGTGATTTGATATGCTATATGTGCTGTATGTCATCCTTCTCTTGGCAATCCTCTCAGGGTGGTAATGACGATGCTCATGATCATGATGCTGATGATGATGCTGATGATGATGACGATGATGATGATGAAGATGATGACGATGATGATGATGATGGTGGTGGTGGTGATGATGATGATGGTGGTGGTGATGATGATGATGATGGTGGTGATGACGATGATGGTGGTGGTGATAATGATGATGGTGGTGATGATGATGGTGGTTATGATGATGATGACGATGCTGATGATGCTGATGACGAGTATGATGATGATGATGATGATGATGCTGCTGATGATGATGATGATGCTGATGCTGATGCTGATGATGATGATGATGATGATGATGATGATGATGACGATGCTAATGATGCTGATGATGATTATGCCGGTGGTGATGATGGTGATGATGATGATGATGATGATGATGATGATGATGATGATGATGATGATGATGATGATGACGACGAGTCCTCTGAGTATGAGGTTGAGGGGGAGTATGAGCAATTCCCGGCAGTTGCGCGGGCTTCCCCGCGGCGTCGGGTACGGCGGACACGGCGTTCAGGCCTTGAGCGGAATTTGCCGCTTGGTGAACGTCGGTCTCGCCATCGCTCGTTCCTCGTGCATTTTTCGTTTGGGCGTGGGTGTGTTTCTCTCCCCCCCGACGGCGAAGGCGACGGCGACGACGACGAGAAATGCACACGTCCAGGCGATGCCGAGGTGCGTCGGCCCTCAGCGGCCTGGCGTCGGCCCTCAGTGCGTCTTGCGCTTGGTGCGGCTGTTGCGGCCCTTGTCTGTGCCCTTGTCCTTGTCCGTGTTGCGGCCTTGCGTCTTGTCTTTGTCCTTGTCTTTGTTGTTGCGACCCTGCGTCTTGTCCTGTTCCTTGTCTTTCTGCGGCGGCGTCCAAAACCAGCGCTCCTCGACCGACCCCGCGTCCCCTGGCGCTAGCGACGGTCCCTGCTACGAGAGGCCGACTTCGTGGCCCATTTTTTCACTTCCACCATCGTCTTCAGGCCGTCTTGCGGGTTCCCAGCGATGGTGATTGTCTTCGGCGGTGCTGCTGCTGGGCGTGTCATCGCGCTGCCTGGTGCTGCGTCTGCTGGTGCGCCTGGTGCTGCGTGTGCTGGTGCTGCGCCTGGTGCTGAGTCGGCTGGTGCGCCTTGGCACGGCGCCTGCTGGTGTTTCGCTTGCTTGCCAATCGCGCGCGCCCGCGGATCCGCGCGCGCCCGCTCGACGGCTCGAGCTGCTCGAGCCACGACGGCGATGACGGCGACGACCGACGACGAGCCCCCTTGAGATCCTCGAGGCCGAAATTGCCGCATACATGTTTTCCGCTTCCCCAGGCCAACATCGAACACATTACATTATGTACACGACTAGCTAAACTTGAGTGAAGTCCCATAAGTTTCACAAGTTCATCCTGTTGATCAGAGCCGCATCTTACTATTCAAAACATCGATGCTCTGATGTAATGTATTATATCTGCCAATCGGTGATATTAGTTGAAGGAGGTGGGCGGTATCATGTTGACCTGTGATATTGCAAACACACGAGTGCACATAAAATTCAAGTTGAGGATTGCTCATGACGTTGCTGATGTTACTCTTCTCTGGTCACTCCTCTCAGTACCTTCAGGCGATCGCAAACATGGATCAAGGGGGCGTGGATTAGCGACAGGCCCCGTTTCCACGGGGAATCGCAGATTTCCGCCGCCGAGCGAGGCGGCACCGGCCGCATTTTCGGGACGGCACCACTTCCGATCCATGGATTTGGCGACCGCGCACCACATCCATGGATCGCTGCAGACGGCCCAGATTCGTAGGTCGACCCTGCCAATTCAAGGGTACCCTTGTGTCCTGTGTCTCTCGACCCATGATTCCTACATTCCTGTGGTGATGTGGCCATCGGAAGGGTCTTGTGTCCTCTCGCGTGTCCTATCCAATCGAGTCCGACTGTAATCCATCTTTGCGCGCCCCCGATACCTGAAGCGTGCTGACCATACCTGTACCGAACAGGCCTGCGAGCTTGAATGGGGGTACGCGGAGCGCAAAGCGTGCATGCACGTCATCTTGCCCGGCTTGTACCGTTTCGCGGTGTTGAGGAGTGTTTGTTCGCCTTCGTGGCATCAGTAGTAGCACGCTTGCCGCCACGGGTGGAGGGCTTCTCCGAAGGTTTCGTGACTGTCCACGGACAACCGAAAATAACGACCGCGCCTGAAAATGACAACCGCGACCCTGGGAAACCGAGGAAGCACCGCCAGGAGGAACAGAGGCAGGAGGAGAGTTTGGGAGGATCTCTGACGAGGACAAGCGGACCCATCCACTCTGAGCCCCGCGCTGTTGCTGTGCGCACTCGCCTGGTAGCGCAGCTGCCTGCCGCCGCCGCCGCGGCCGTCGTCGACGTCGCCGCCGCCACCGCCACCGTCGTCGTCGTCATCGTCGTCGTCGTGGAGGTCGCACTCCGCGGCGCCGCCGCCCCCGAGTCGCTGACCGAGGGCCAGGACCACCTGTGAACGGGCAGGAGGGGGCTTACATTCCCAGTGTGCGCGAATATGAGCACGAGTGGCTTAGTTTGAGTGTGGCCTGGCGGGGTTCGGTCCGATGATCAGAGGCTGGGTACGAGTGAATTTGAGATTTAGCGAGGACGACTATGCGCGTCTGAACATCTTTCGATTGCGTTGTGTGAGTTCTGAGCGAATGCGAAGACGATTGGCTGAGGTGAAATGCCCCAGTATTGGCGGGTCTGGGTACGAGCGAATATGGGGTATAGAGTATAGATACGGATTGGCATGCGTGTGAATGCGTTTGCGTAGGATTGCCTAGGTGTGAGTGGGTCTGAGTGCCAGTGGCTTTGAGTATGTGTGGCCAAATATGAACAAGTCTGAATGCGAGTACGCGTGGACGTCTGATGGATGCTGTGCGCGCGTTGTCGGGTATGTTGTCCACGTGGCGATGCAAACTATTCCTGCCTACTGAGCTGTGGGGTCAAATGTTTGAGAGGCCTGAGTAATTCAGGGATTACACCCATTCATGGCTTCATAATGGCAGTGTATCTGCTGATGGACATGGCGAGGCCTGCTCGTGCTTGCTCAATGAGGTCGCTTGTCCCTCGGCATTCTACCAAAAACGGGTCTGGGGAGTCAGCTGCTTCTGGTGGCTCCGAAATCATCGACTACTTTCCCTTGGTGATAGTTTCTTTCAACTGAAACGCAGCAAACGAAGGTCGGGGAGATCCGGGGACAGACCACGAGTCAGCGGATTTATGTCGCATGCATCTCAAACAACTGGAATACGTATGTGCCAGAGCCACGTTCGCTCGATCTTGGGCCACTTCGGGCGCTCTTCAGGGTCATCTTGCTGGGCTCTCGGGGGCTCCTACGGCTGTCACTGAAATTTTTGAAGTCCCTGGGGCTGCTGAAGCGGCCTCGGGTGTCATGTTGGGGCGTCTTGTGTCCATTTCGGGGAATACCGTGCCGTCCGAAGGAGTTCTCAGCCCCCTCTGGGGAGGGCTTCAGGCCCTTCTGGGACCATCTTTTGCTATCCTTGGGGCTGTCTTAGGGCTCAGCTCGGCGTTCTGCAAAGGCCCCTGAGGCTCATCAGTCGTCAGGGCGGCGAGAAAAGACATCTTGCTTCAATGCGGTCGGCGGCAGAGCCCCTCCCCTCGTTTGAAGACACCAGCTACCTTCCATGCCGATGAGAAACCGGCTGGACACTGCCCCGGCGCTCCTACAAGGGGTGCGGCTAGACTAACGGGCTTCGGGCTTTGCTGCCGGTTTCCCTCCTCTGATGTATTCGCTTGTTGGCAGTGCCACAGTTTGGTTTGAAACGTTGTGGTCGTAGATGGGTGGAGCTAGTGTGGAACATGTTTCATTTCTCCACGAGGAATAGAAGTGTGAGTAATTACATACACGTCCTCGTAACGTCGCGTAAGAGTCCACGTAACAACGGGCACGCAGATGAAGTAGCATGAGTCGCGGATGCAGTGGTATGAGTCTTCACATCGGAGGAGACGTATTAACATGTGTCCACGCATACGAGTCAATTCAGTAACGAATCTGAGTCCACGCAGCAACCTGCATGCATACTTTGAAAACATCAGGGGCCCTTGCATAGGAAATAGGATTAGGAGTCGACGCGAATGCATCCACGCAACAGCGCATAGGAGTCAACGCAGCAATGCGTATGCTCAGGAAGCCATACGAGTCCGCAAGCGTGAATCCATGCATAGGAGTCCACACAAATGAGTCCGCAGTTGCGAATTCACGCTTGGGAGCCAACGCATAGACGTCTACGTATACGAGTTCACGTATGGGCGTCCATGTAGCAACGGGTAAATGCCCACGCAGCAACGCATAGGAGTTCACGCACAAATGCAGGTTTCGAGGACGACGATGCTTAAAACGCGCTTGCTTTTAGAACGAACAACAAAATCCACCGGAACGTGTTCAACAAACGTTTAGAACGAAACGGGTGCACACCGAAAACGAACAATGGAAGGAGGCCGCCATTCAGCGAGAAAACACATTGAACAACGAAGCGAAACCCGCAGACAATTTTGGAAACAAAACGAAAGACGACACGAAGACACGGAAGGATGATTGGGGACGGGCAGCATTGGATGGGGTTCGGGGCCAGGGCGAACGCGAAGGGCGAGTTGTTGGTTGGGGCTTGACGCAAACACAACGACAAAACAATATAAACTAACAACGAAACGAAAAACGAGCCAGGACTGCGACAGGGGCAACAGGGCCAGGGCTAGGGCGAGGGGCGAGGTCCCGTTTGCGGCTTGTGCGAAAAGAAACGAAACACGGAACGCAAAACGAACCAAGGCTGTGGCGAGTGCTACAGGGCCAGAGCAAAAGCGAGGGGCGAGGTCCCGTTTGAGGCTTGTGCGAAAACGAACGGAACAACGAAACGAAACACAAACCAGGGTTGCGGCGAGAGGTACAGGGCCAGGGCTAGGGTGAGGGGCGAGGTCCTGTTTGAGGCGTGTGCGAAACCAAACGGAACAACGAAACGACAAACTAAGCAGGTTTGCGGGTGCATGGCTAGGGCTCAGGCGAGGGGCGGGGTCCCGTTTGAGGCGTTTGCGAAAGCAAACGAAACACGAAACGAAAAACAAACCAGGGTTGCGGCGAGGGCTACAGGACATGGGCTAAGGCGAGGGGCGAGGTCCCGTTTGAGGTTTGTGCAGAAACGAACGAGAAAAGAAACGACAACCAGGGTTGCGGCGAGGGCTACAGGGCCATGGCTAAGGCGAGGGGCGATCAGTCTAGGGCCCTGGTGTCTAGGGCCCAGGAGCTTGGGGCCCAAGAGTCCAGGGCCCGGGAACCTAGGGCCCTGGAGCCCAGGGCTCAGGAGTTTGGGACCTTGGAATCAAAGGCCATGGCGCAGGAGTCTCAGGCCCAGGAGCCTGGAGCCTTGGAGCGTAGGGCCCAGGAATCTAGGGCCCAAGAGTCTAGGGCCCTGGAGTTCAGGGCCCATGGGTCTAGGGCCCAGGAGTCGAAGGCTCAGGAGTCTAGAGTCCTGTAGTCGAGGGCTCTGAAGTCTAGGGCCCAGTGTCAGCCCGAAAACCGTATGAGACAAACCAATTGGTTAGATCGCATTCTGGATGCCAACATGGGACCATACAGTGTGAACAACCACAGCGGTGACACGCGTCACCCCGAAGTTTGCGTGATAAAAAACAATGGCTCCATTCGTATTTTGGATGCAAGCATGGGGCCACACAGCGTGAAACAACACAGCGGTGACACGTGTCACCCCGAGAGCCGCGTGAGAAACAAACAATTGCTTCACCCGTATTCTGGATGCAAACGTGGGACCTTGCAGCGTGAGACAACACAGCGGCGACACGTGTCTTCCCGAAGACGGCGTGAGAAACACAACATGTCTCATTCCAATGTTTGATGCCAGCATGGGGCCACGCAGTGTGAAACAACGCAGCGGTGACACGGTTTTACGGGTGACACGCGTGACGCGTGTCATTTGCAGAAAACCGTGCCCAAAACATTGGTTGTTGTTCTACGGGGCCGTGCAGTGTGAAACAACGCAGCGGTGATACGTGTCACCCCGAAGTCCGCTTGGTACAAGAATGTGTTTCACTCGTGTTCTGGGCTCCAGCATGGGACCAAACAGTGTGAAAACACAGCGGTGACACGTGTCGCCACGAAAAGCCGTGTGAGAAACAATGACAGATTCGTATTCTGGATTCGAACGTGGGACCATACAGTGTGACACAACACAGCGGTGACGCGTGCCACCCCGAGAATTGTGTGGGAAAGAACAGCTGTTTTGCTTGTATGCTGGATGCCAACATGGGGCCACACAGCGTGAACCAACAGCAATGGCACGTGCCGCCCCGAACATCGCGTGAGAAAATCAAATTGTTGCTTTCGTATCCTGGATGTCAACATGACACCATACAGCGTGAAACAACAGCGGCGACACGTGCCACCACGAACACCGTGTGAGAACAACAATGGTTTCCTTCAAATTCTGGATGTCAACATGGGACCAAACAGCGTGAACCAACACAGCGGTGACACGTGTCATTCCGAAGACCGCGTGAGGAAGCGGTTTGCCATTCGCGTTCTGGATGTCAACGTGTTACCACACAGTGTAAAGCGACACAGTTGCGGCGAGCGTCACCCCGAAGACCGCTTGATAAAACACAAGGTGTTTGATTCGTATTCTGGGTGTCAACATGGGACCAAACAGCTTTAACCAGCACAGCGGTGACACGTGGCCCCGAAAACCGCGTGAGAAAAAACACGTGTGTCATTTGGTTTCTCGATGCTTACGTGGGACCAGACAGTGTGAAACAGCACAGCGGTGACACGTGCCACCTCGAAAACCGCGTGAGAAACACAACGATTGCTTTATTCGTTTTCTGGATGCAGCATGTGACCAAGCAGCAAGAAACAACGAAACGGTGAGACGTGTCACCCCGAAAACCGATTGAGAAAAGAACATCTGTTTCGCCCGCATTCTGAATACCAGCACGGGACCGGACAGTGTGAAATAACACAGTGGTGACATTAGGGCCCAAGAGTCGAGGACCTTTGAATCAAGGGCCCAAGAGTCTGGAGCTTTGGAATCTATGGCCCTGGAATATAGGGCACACCAGTCTAGGGCCCAGGAGTCTGGGGCCCAGGAGTCTAGGGCGTTGGAATATACGGCACAGGAGAGCAGGACATTGGAGTTCAAGGCCCAAGAGTCTAGGGCCTAGGAATCTGTACCCGTGAAGTATATGGCCCAGGAGTCGAGTTCAGGGCCCAGGAGTCGATAGCTCACGAGTCCAGAGCCAAGGCATCTAGGGCCCTGGAGTCTAGGGCCCTGGAGTCTGGGGCCCATGAGTCTAGGGCGTCGGATTCTCGGGCCCTTGGAGTCTAGACCCCAGGAGTCTACGTAAGGCCTTCGGAACTAAGCGACCAAGAGTCTGGGGACCTGGAGTTTGGGGCCCTGGAGTCTAGTGCTCTGGAGTAGTGCGCTGGAGTCTAGGACCCAGGAGTCAAGGGCCCTGGAATCTGGAGCCCATGAGTCTAGGGTCGTGGAGTCTAGGGCCCTGGAGTCTAGGGCCCAGGAGTCTAGGGCCCAGGTGTCTAGGGCCCAGGAGGCCTCAGGCCCTGGAGTCTAGCACCCTGGAGTCCAGGGCCAACGAGTCTAAGGCGTTGGAGTCTAGCGCCCATGAGTCTAGGGCCCTTGAGTCTCGGGCCCATGAGCCTGGGACCCTCGAGTCTGGGGCCCAGGAGTCTACGGCCCTGGATTCTAGAGCGGGCCTTGGGGGCCCTGGAGTCTAAGGCCCCCAGGTCTAGGTTCCAAGAATCTGGGGCCCAAGAGTCTATAGGGCCCTGGAACCTCGGGCCCAGCAGTCTAAGGCCCTGGAGTCTGGGGCCCAGAGCTGAGGCTTGGGGCCAGGAGAGTCTAGTGCCCAGGAGCATTGGCCCCGGAGTCGAGGGCCCAGGACAGGAGTCAAGGGCCCAGGGGTCTTAGGGTACACGTGGATGGGGCCCAGGAGAGAGGGCCCTGGAGTCCAGGGCCCAGGACTCTAGGGCCTTGGATTCTGGGGCCCAGGGTTCTTGGGCCCTGGAATCTAGGGCCCTAGAGTCTAGGGGGAAGAACCAGCGAAACGAAAAACGAAACGCACGCCCGGAAGCTATGGTCGAAGCGAGGAGCGACAGAAGCGAAACGAAAACCGAAACGAATACCCGATTCACGGCTGAGGCTACGGCAGAGGCCGGGGCCCAGGCTGAAGATCAGGCCGGGAGCGCAACGATAATAGTTGGGGGAAACGGCGAAGCGAAAAACGAAACGAGTGCCCAGAAATCATGGCCAGGGCAAGGAACGACAGAAACGAAACGTATAACGACACGAAGCGAACGCCCAGAACTATGGCCGGGGCTACGGCAGAGTTTGGGGCCCGCTTTGAAGCTCTGGCCAGGGGTGCGACCAAAACATCAGGAATGACAGCGACGAAACGAACAACGAAACGATCGCCCGAAGTTGCGGCGCATGCGAGGGGAACAGACTTGCTCGGCCTCGGGCCACTGACAACCAAAACGCAACATCAAAAACAAACGATAATGAAACGACGCATGAAGCCACACGGCATTCCTATCACACGCAATCAGAAAACCGAAAGACGACGGCGGCGAGAAATGAAACGAACAACGAAACGAACCGCGGAATGAACGGGGCAAACAAAACGAAACATGATACGCAAGTTTGGACCGTGGCAGAACACAACGAACAACGAACCGCGCACCAAAAAACGTTTGACATTCAGGGGCGTGTAAGACACAAACGAACAGCGCAACGGAAACACAACCAACAACAACACGAACAAACAAACAAGGGCCAACACCACACTAAACAGCGTTGTGTTCGGTCCCCTGCACAAATGTGCACAATGGAAACCATAGGTGTGCCCGCGTATGAGGCCGCGCACACGATTCCGCTAGTGTTAGTCCACACGTGGGAGCTCACGCACAGGAGTCCTCGCGAACGGCCGACCACGGCAAACAAGGCATACATAGAAGACCACGGCTGACCACGGCAAGCAAGATGAGGTATGTGTTCTTCGTGGCCGCTTCCTCGCTTCGCCTTCGCTTCCTCTTCGCTTTGTTCCTCGCGTCCCCTCCCTGGCGCTGCCAACTGCGCAATTGTCGCCACTCTCGTGAGCTCCTGGGGGGCCTGGCGGAGTTGGTGGGACCCCATTCAGATCTGAATGAGACCTCGCATCCCTTGGCGCTGACAATTCCGCAATTGTCGCAACTGTCGTGCGCTCTTGGGACGTCGAGGAGAGTGGTGCCGTATTCAGATCCACAAGGGACCTCGCCTCCCTGGGTGCTGCGAACTGGGCAACTGTCAGCACTTTCGTGAGCCCTTGGGAGGGGTCATCGGAGTAGGCCCCCCATTCAGATCCTGAGGAAGCATTGCCTCCCTTGGCGCGGCAAACTGCAGAACAGTTGCCAATTAAGCAACAGTCGCCCTTTTCGTGAGTTCCCTGGGGGTCAGCGGAGTCCGGGGTTACGCAGACCTAACAGGCCCTCGCTCTCTGTGGGTGCTGCCAGTTGTGCAGCTGTTGACATTTTTCTGCGCTTCTGGGGGTTCCGGCGAAGTGCGGGGCCATGCAGATTTCCACGGAGCCTCGCCCTCCTGGGGTGCTGCGAATTGGGCAGTTTTCGCCACTTGCGCGAGCTCCTGGAGGGTCCAGCGAAATGCGGAGCTGAATGGGGCCAATTGGGACGTCGCCTTTTTCATGGTGTTGCCAATTTGGCAACCGTCGCCATCTGAGGAGATACGTAGATCCACACAGGACGTCGCCCTTTCGGGGTGCTGCCAGGTGCGCGACTGTAACCACGCTCTTGAGCTTTCCGTGGCGCCGCGAAGTCATCGCCAGCTCCAGCCTGAAGGGCGTCAGCGTCATGGGCGGGCTCTGGTTGCACTTGTACGTTATGCTTTGCAGAGCCACGGCGTCGGACAACGTGCTTGTGATCCGCCAGCGTGCGTACCAGCGCGCTCAGTGCTTCTTTACGCGTCTCACGCCCATCTGGGGTCGCGCGCGCGGGCGCGTGTCTGCTACCTCTTAGTTCCTGTTCTGACCGGCGTAGCTTGGGGCCACGATGTTGGTTCACGCGAGCCTCAAACCAGGATCAGTGAGTGTTGCGTGGGAGACGTGACACAACCTCCTTCGTTGTCACTGACCGCATGTCATGTATCTGTGCCCTTTACGCCGTTTCGCGTTGTCCTTGTAATGGTGATCGCCGTTGCTCATGCAATCGCTCCTGTCGTGTATGCTCGCCCCGCCAACTCTCCATCCTCTCCCGCCTCCCCCATATTCCTCGATATCGTCGATGTGTGATCCCCCTCCGTTTCCCTTTTTTGGGCGTCGCTTCGAAATTGCTTTGTAAGGTCACCGTAAAACTTCTTCATTGGGAAAGCTTGACGTTTTACATGTTCATGCCGGATGGGGCTTTTTTGCTGCCATTCGCCAACGTTGTTCGTGTTATCGATAACGTCGTCATCAGCGTGCGTACCCGTGTGCATCGGCGTTTGGCCTATCCCGCCGCCGTGCCCAGGTCGTGGGAGCGGGGTGTATTGGAGGCAGTGTGGGGCATCACGGAAAAGGCTTCTTGATGTGTCATGGGTGCCTTTTCGGGATTCTTAAGGGGCTTTTGGAGGCCTCTTGGAAGCTCCCTGGGGACATGACGCGGTCTATGGGCCATCGCGGAGTTTAGGTCCCCAGAGGCTCCTGCGCCCTTCGGGGCATCTGCGATTTTCGGAGGCGCCGGGGGCCAGTTATGATTGGACGTTCTCAAAACAGAACAGCCGATGTTGCGACAATCGCGCAAACCCGTGAGGTTGTTTAAATGAGTCCGGCCTCCTTGCCTCCAGGATTTTCCAATTTGACAACGAGGTTGCCAGGAAAACTCCAGGACGGTTTCTTGGAGCCACGGAGGATCCGCAAGTCATTTGAGCGGTTTTTGCGCGGATGTTGGTGAATGTTTGAATCGGTTTTGGCGTGTCTGGCTTCGTGGAGGTCCTCACGGCACGCGCCAGACGCGACGAAAGATATTTTGGGAATTCCAGAAAGTTGGTGGTTCAGGCCTTGGGAGGTATATCTTCCTTTAAACAAGCAGTTTCGTGTGCATGATCATAGGGGCACTCTATTACGTACTGAAGACACGGTAGGGGATAATAATTAATACAAGTGTGCGTGTTAGACCGAGTTGCCCTAAATACGGTAACCTTGGGCACGTGCATTCGTTTGCATATTTGGATTTGCCCGGACAGTTTCCGTATTGGCATGAGTGCGAGTACACATTGGCAATCACATTAGTTTTTTGTGTTCGTGGTTTATTTGGTTGTCGTATCAGCAGAAGTAGAGGTAGGAGGATGCCCAGGAGAGGTTCCAGAAAATAGGGGCCAGCGGGGCTAACCAGGAGAAAAGAGGATGTGAAAAACGAGGGCGTTGGGAATATGTATCAGGACACACCGGCCTTCCACAAGGTCGGCGGTGCCATGCTGTCCATGGTGGCGGCCCTGATCGTGGCGCTCGTGCCGGTCCCCCTGCAGCCGAGCCGGGAGCGGGAGTTGGGGAGGTGACAACGACGGCTGGTAGACACCCTTGCAATTCGGGCCGGGCGAAAGGGGGGATTGGGAAAGGGGGGGTTACGAAATTTGCTGCATGCAGCTGGTTTCGGCCTCACCGAGGGCCCATTCCTCGATACAGAGCCGCCTCCGGCGCCGGGAGGCGCCGGGAAAATCAGCTACGCGAGCTGATTCTCAAACCCCCCCTTTGCTATCCCCCCCTTTCGCCCGACCCGAGCAACGTCCTAGCGATTGGGGCATTTGCACAAGCCTGCAGTTCTCCCTGCAGCCCGCTTCTCAGTGCCGACGGGCGTGGACGGCGGGCGCTCCACTCGATTGGGGGGGGCGCGGGTGGCGGGGGCTACGGCTGCAGGACTCAGGAGCGATGGCGCAGTGCTTTAGTTCCTCGGCGGGGAGTCGAGTCCAGGGGCCTGGTGCTCCTCCTGCTCCTCCTTCCCCTCCTCACCTTTCTCCTGTGAGGCCTGCGCCGCTCCGTGGACCCAGGGGGAGGCGGCCCGTGGACATCTCGACCCCTCTTTGGGGATGGTTCTTCCTCTGGTTGTCTGCGTTCGGTTGGGGGATAGCGAGGTTGAGAGGAGCAGGAGGAGGAGGACCAGTGTAAACCCAAGACGCATCAACGATGTTGCAATAAGCGTTCCCAGTGCCTTCCTCAGAGGGCCCGAGAAGAGCTTGTTTTTACTGCGGGGCGTGCCCAATCGGAAGACAACCGTCTGCGAATCATCAGTCGTGCCAAACCACCGTTCTCGGGACTGCAGCGCCGCGAATCACTTTGATTTTTGCATCCTGACAATTTAAATTTGCGCCAGAACTCCATTCCTGGGACTCCAACACCGCGAATCAATCTCTCTGTTGAGTCCTGAAGATCCTGAATCGTGACAGCACACAATTCCTGGAACTTCAACGCCGCGAATCAACGTGACTGTTGCGTCCTGACAATCCTAAACCGTGTCAGAACACCTGCTTTAGGTTTCCATCCATACCGATATGGGAAGCTGCTGCTAACCTTGAAGGCGAATGTGCGCGGCGCGGAGGCGAGAACCACATGTTGAAAACGACCCGCCTTCCCTTCGTGAAGTTGTTGCAAACTTTGAAGACGAATGTGCGCTGCGCTAACGCGAGAACCGCAGTTTGAAAACGACCAGTCCCTCCATCCGTGAAATTGTTGCACAAGTCAAGCTTCAGGGACATACATGGTGAGGAAGTCTCAGGCGAACCACCTGGCCCACCCTACAAACACATCTGGGTATGCGACAGGGAGAAGTTATTTGTCGTCTGTCCTACTGCCCATCCCGCCACCGTGCCTGGGTTGTGGGTCAGAGTCCTTTAGCATGTTCGTTGGGATGTCGCGGGAGCCATCTTGGGGGCCTGTTGGGGACAGTGTTGAGGCCTCTTGGGGGGCCGTTTTGGAGCTTCTTGGGGCGTTTTTGGACGCCCTTTGGGGGCTTCTTGGGGGCCTCTTGGTGCCCTCTTGGGGGCCTCGTGGGGGCGTCTTGGGGCGGAAGACTTGGATGTTCGATTCGTGCTCCCCCTCTGCGGTCCTTCTTGGGGCTGTCGTTGGGCCGTCTTGGGTGCCACTTAGGCCGTCTTGGAGCCTTCTTGGGCCGTCTTGGTGCCCTCTTGGGGGCCTCTTGGGCCATCTTGGGGCGGTCTCTGGAACCGTGTTGGGCCGTGTCCTTGTCCTGAACTCGCACCCCGTGGAAGTGTTGTTCTGTGCTGCCCCAGGCTCGCGGGAATGAGAGGTTCACAGCTCTTCTTCTCGTTCGGCCTTACCGATCTGTTGCTTCGCTTGCTTCGCTTGCTGTCCTCGCTCCGCTTTCCTGTGCCCCCGCTTCGAGGCTGCGGATTTGTCAGCCCACCTCGGCGATTGGCACGCACAGGCGGTCGCCCCTCCCGCGTCCTGGCACTCCGAGGTGGCACGAGAGCGTATCAGGCTAGCCTTTATCGAAACGCGTTCGGCCCTGCATCCAATATCTCTACGCGGGGAGCAGTAAGAGTCCGAATGCTGCTCGGCACTCCCCGGGCACCTTGTCCTTGTCCCTGACGTTCTCGCCATTGCAGTCAGTATCTGTGTTGTTCCCACCAATACAAAGCTCAGCCTTGCTGTCCTCACCATTACCTTCTATCTTACGCATCCCTCGACGAGTAGGTCGTTTTCATCCTACCTTATGTTTTCTTCTTCCTCCTCCTTCTCCTACCTCCCCAATCCTTCCTGGATAATATTGTTTATCCTCTAGCGCGTAATGGTTGTTACGGGGGCCAGCCTCCTCTCAGGGTACGGGTGACGATCGTACTTAGGGAGGTAGCCCCCCCCACAGCCTGGTGCTCGCGCGCGTACTACGACGATCGCAGCGACCCCCCTCCGACATGCCCCTTCCCCGCCCAATTGTTACCATTAACCTGGGACTCCAACCCCCCCTTGTAACCAATTACCGGTAATGATATACAAATAAATTCTTCACGTATCCTAGTTTCCGCATTCTTTGCCGAAGAAGTCCTCGCCGCACCCCCAAGACCCCCTCCTTTTTCTCCTTCTCTTCCTGGTAGGGATCGGCCTAAACATTGTTGCCCGTGTTCGTTTTGTTTTCGTTGTTTTTCGTTATGTATTTGTTCTGCCCTTGCTGCAAAACGATATGAAAACGGAAACAGTGCACGAAATCGCCTACCTCCTTACAGTTTCTGTCGAGCCTTCTCGCCTACCTCCCTCCTCCTTCCTCCTTCTTTTCGTCTCCTACCCTTCGGATGTGACTCCTGGGAAGTAAAATTATGATTTTGCCCTGGTCCGAAATCTGGCTTAATCCCGCTTGATCCAGCTTCATCCCGCTTATTCCCGCTTAATCCGGCTTAGTATTGCTTAGTCCGAGGCCCACTCCGGCGTAACAGCTCTCAAATGGGGCTTAATCCTCTTCAATCTTTCCGACGAAAGCCTCCCAGTAGTTGCCTCCTTGGACGGAGACGTCCTCCTCGCCGGAGACGGACCTCGACGGAGACGTCCTCGACGGAGACGTCCTCCTCGCCGCATCCCCCCGAGCCCCCGGCGGCAGGTCGCGGAGGCCCAGGCGGCGAAGAGCGGAGGCCGCATGGGCAGCTCGATGCCCGCGCGCTCGGCCCCGCCGGCCAGGCCCGCGCCGCCCAGACCCGCGCCGGCCTCAGCCGGGCCCGCGGGGAGTGACCCTTCGCCAGGGTGACCTCTGGTGCGGGCACGATGGGGTTCCCCGATCGCAGAAATCGATGCGCTGGTAGCGTCTTGCGCGCCTGTGTTTGGTCACCCCGCGCCCCCCAAAGAGCCGCGCACCAAAGGTCACTCTTACCCAGGGTCGCTCTGGCGTGCAGCCGAGGGAGGGACGAGCCGCTCGCCGCAGGGGCCAGGGCAATAGTTCGATCCAGGTGGGCAAAGTCCTCCAGGGGTGGACCTAAACTGTGTTTTGGCGACTTCGTGGGCCGTTTTCGTTTCGATGTCGTTTGGCCTTAAAGACGGGGATTGAAGACAAAACGAGGGAAATCGAAAACAAAAGAGAACGAAAAACACCGTTTAGGTTCAGCCCTGAAGTCCTTCTCACCCCGTCTCCCTTGCCTCCGAAGTCTCGGTGGGACCCACCCCAACATACCAGTATGTGTGTTTCCCCCCTCCCCCCCCCAGGGGCGACGCGGGCGCCGAGAAATCTATAGTATATGATGCCCCGTGGCTGGCACGTTCTCGCCCTCCCGTTCGGGAAACAATATACAACAGCACGTTTGTATTGTATGATTTCCTCGGACGGACACCCTCGAGGAGAACACATCGTACTGGTATGTTTTTTCTGCGTCCAACCCGAATCCGACGGGGCACTGGGGCGTCCAGAGCTCGCCCGCCGCCCGCGCGCGGGGCGCCACGCGCCCTGGCCGCAGGGCCGCCGCCGCCGCCGCTTCTGGCCGCGAGCCGCCAGGAGCGCAGCCGCCGCCGCCGCCGCCGCCAGCGCCAGCAGCTCCCCCCCTCCTCCCCCCCGCTCCCCCCCCGACGTCCAGAGCCCTCGGAGCGAACGATCTGAAGTATTCTCTTGTTCTTCATGACGCGGGCCCGCACGTGCGTGCCACTCGGCCTGCAGCGCGTCTCAGCGCGGTGCGCACCCCCGGCACCGCTCCCCGCATGGGACTGCTTTCGCGGACGCACGAGTCCTGAGTCCTGAGTTTTCCTCCTCCTCCTCCTCCTCCTCCTCCTCCTCCTCCTCCTCCTCCTGGAAGCGGCCCTGACACACTGGGTCCCGAAACCGGCCTGGCCAGGCACGGGGAAGCCGCGGTGCCAGAGCCGTCTCCCGCTGGGTCCACCAAAGGCCCGACCTCCTGGCCGGGCAGGTGGTGCCCTGGGTCTTCCGTCGGCGGGTGCTGCAGCTCGAACGCAACTGTACAAACGGCCTCGTCACGCGCCCTGATGACCTCTTGATTTGCTTTCGCGGGGCCTTCGAGTCGGGGATACAAATCTTTGGCGAGCCTGCCGAGGTTCTCCGAACCCTTGGGGTTTTGCTCTTTACATTTAGTAACTGAACTTAAGCTGGGAGAACTGTCGCATAAAGACAGCACTCGCTATAAGTATAGAACATCAGATCAGGTATCTGCAAGCTGGTGCTTGGGGGAGGGGTGCATGCGGCCGGTCAAGCCGTGGCCTGTGACGGCAGGCGCGAACTTGTCTCCCCTCCGCGCCGCACGTTCCACATAATCAGTTCCAGTTGGAGGGTCAGAACAAGGCGCTGCGGCACATTCCCGCGGTCTGTAAAGAAGCATCACACGCTCGCGCGCCTTGCACCACCCAAATTGTGATCCGCGAGCCTCGAGGAGATGGTCCGAGGCGCCGCTGACTTTCGCAAATCGGATGGGCCGAGATCCGAGGGGCGGGGCGTGTATGGTTTCGTGGAGGACCCTTTCGCAGAGCAAGTTTTGTTGCCAACGGCGTCGCAACGCGCGAATCGGAGACACAATGGGACAAAGAAGGACAACGAAGCGAAAACAATGAGACGGCTCAAATTTGGGAAGCGGAAAAACCGAGAGAAGACGGATGGAGGTGAAAGGGATGCCAGGGAGAGTGAGCAGCGGCGGAAGAGGGAGAGGGGAGCAGCATGCAGCAGGAGAGGCGGCGGCAGCAGCAGCAGGAGAGGGGGAGGCGGGGAGAGAAGAGCGGAAAGAATGAGCGGGGAACGGGAGAGGGCGGCAGCAGCAGCAGGAGAGGGAAGCCCAGGCAGCCCGCGGCGCCCCTGGCCCCGGCCCCGGCCCGGCCCCGACAGCTGAAAGTTGAGAGCTCTCTCTCTCTCTTTTTTCCCATCCCTCCCTCCCCTCCCCACCCCGGGCCGCCGAGTGCGGCGGGGAGGAGGCGGGGGCGGGGGGGATAAGGACGAGGAGGAGGAGGAGGAGGAGGAGGAGGAGGAGGGGACAGCGAGAGATCTTTCCAACGCAGTCGCGGCCCCATCACATCCAACAACTTCTGCTGCGGCCGCCGAGCATCTTGAGTCGCACGCTTTCGCTTCCTGTTGGGTGTCCTAATCTTTGATTGCGCTCCTCTGGCACGGGCTGGCGCCCCCTGGAGGCCCCCGGAGGCCCGCCAGGCCCCCGGCCCCCGCTGCGCTGCCAGTCGTTGCCCGCCGGCCGCTCGCCGTCCGCCGCCAGAGGCCGCAGGGCCTTGGCCTCGAGCCATCGGGCCATCAGCCGGATCGCGGACCCTGCCATCAGGGGGTCGCCGCGGACCCGGCCTTCGCCTCGAGCTCGAGCCGCGGTCGAATTCGCCCTGAGATCCCAGCAGCTGGGCGCCTGACGGGGCCTCGCAACTCGTCGAGAAATCGCGCCGAGGCATGCACGTGCGCCGGGAGAGGTTCACGCGACCGCCCTACGTCAAAGGAGGGGGATGAGGAGGAAGATGGGAGGAGGATGACGGGGGGAGCTCAGGATGAGGACGACGAGGATGCGAGAGGAGAGAGGGCGAGAAGCGAGAGGAAAGGAGAGAGGAGGGAGTTGGGGTTAACAGATAACGGAGTCCAAGATGACCTGGGCGAGCAGGGGGGCCAGGGGAACCAGGGGAAGGGTCGAGGGGGGAGGAAGAGGATGCCAGGAGGTCAGGAGGACAGCGAGAGGCGAGAGGGCTTACAGGTTGGTGGTCGGTTCTTCCGACCGACGCGTTGGGGGGCTGATTGGGCTCGTACGTCGCATGGCTTGTCGGGCTGATAAGAATCATCGGGCCCATCGGGTTTATAGTGGTCCTACGTGTCATGGGGCTCGTCGGGCTCGCAGGGCCCATATGGTTCAACGGCCTCTTCTCTCGTCTCGCTCATTCACATGGCCCATCGGGCTCACAAGGCTCATCGGGCTCGCAGGGCTCATACAGGGGCTCTTAAGGCCCATAAGGGGCCATAAGGGGCCGCATGGCCCGCATGGGTCAAATGGCCCGTAGGGCTCATAGGGCTCATATGGCCCATAGGGCTCATAGGGCTCATAGAGCGGGCTGATAGGGCTTGTGAAGGTCTTATGACGCGCGCGTGCAAATCGCCCCGAATGTCGCGACGGATTTTTGCGAATTGGTTTTTGACAAACGAGTGTTCGCGAACGGCTTTCTTTTGCAGATGATGGGAAGGGGGGGGGTCGATGTTGGTGGGGCTGGGGTTCGAAGGTTTCATTCTTAGAAGGAGCAATGGGGCAGAATCGCATGTGCACTGCGCGCCCCGCGGGTGTGCGGTTAATTGCGTTCGCCCGCCTTCGGGGGCGTGGTGGGATCTGTTCTCTGCTAGAGCAGGAGAATCTAGGTCGCGCAATCTAGCTCGGCGACGCGGCGGCGACAGGGTGGCGATGGCGGCCGCGCAACCGCCGGAGCGGCAGACGCGGCCCAGACGACGAGCGGCGACGGCGGCCACGTAGCAGTTAGACGTTAGACCGAAGACACGGCTCAATCCCATCGAACAGGAGGAACTATGCGCAATCACTGTTTTGGGAAAGCCCTCGGTCTATTGATGCAAACGCTAGACGGAAGGCGAATCACTCATACCAGGGGGCAATTTGCACGTTTCTACCGAAGTGAACCCAAACCCTTCGCCCAAGGCCCACCGCCCATCAGGTTTGCGCAGGGGTCCGAGCGTTTGCCCCGCCCGGATCGTCCGAGCGATTGACCCCCCGTTTCGTTTCCGAACACGTGAACGTTGCCGACCCGAAGCCCAGCAGATTACATGCATCTCGCTTTGTCACCATCATATTGCCATCGAGCCGCGGGTGCGCGATGGGGAATTGCGACGGGCCCCTTCAACCCGAGCGATGGTTCCGATGCGTGTTTGGCGGGAGCTTGGGTGACGAGGCCGCGCATCTTCTCGAAGCATTCGCAGGCCTCGTTGGGGTCAGAACCCCCGAGCGACTGGACAACGAGACGAGCGCATGTAAACTGTTGAGAAACAGGCGACATGGAGGAAATAATCGACGATTGGAACGGTAAAAGTGACCGCGAGTCACGGTGACCATGGCTGGGATGGATTGAGTCCCGCTGCGCATGGCGGCGGCGGCGACGAGCGCCGGGCTGGCCGGGCCCCCCGGCCCCCCCACCAAAATTATCTTGGCGATGGACCCAACCATATGCAGTTACGAGTACCGCAAAGCAGGATGAACGAATGAGAGGGAACTCCCTAAGGGGCCACGAAACGTGTGAGAGGTGTGCCGAAATGGGTGCGGTGTCGCCATGCGAACGCAGCCACTGGGGCCCTCGGTGGAGCTCCCTCAGGGGCCACGAAACGTGTGAGGGGTGTACCGAAATTGGTGCGGTGCCGCCATGCGAACGCAGCCACTGGGGCCTTCGGTGGAGCTCCCTATGGGGCCACGAAACGTGTGAGGGTTGTGCCGGAATGGGCGCGGTGCCGCCATGCGGACGCAGCCACTGGGGCCCTCGGTGGAGCTCCCTATGGGGCCAAGAAGCGTGTGAGGGGTGTGCCGAAATGCGCGCGGTGCCGCTATGCGAACGCAGCCACTGGAGCCTTCGGTGGAGCTCCCTATGGGGCCACGAAGCGTGTGAGGGGTGTGCCGACATGGGCGCGGTGCGGCCATGCGAACGCAGCCATTGGAGCCCTCGGTGGAGCTCCCTATGGGGCCACGAAACGTGTGAGGGGTGCGCCGAAATTGGCGCGGTGCCGCAATGCGATCGCAG